TATTGAAAAAATTGTTTAATAAAATATTTAAATATTTCACAATCGTTACCCACACATATACTCCCCATGGAATTGACCTGGAGATGCCCCTAAATAATAGAAAATAAAATTATCACCCGTCGTATAGTAAAACTAATTCATAAAAAAAAAAAATACAAAATGAAAATAGAAAAAAAACCGTTGAAGTTGTTCAATCGTTTAAATTTGATCACAAGCACGACGAAAGATGAGATAAATTACATGAAAAAGTAGTCCGTTCGATAAGATGATGGTACTGCGGTTGATTTGCCCATCATCGCCGTGTAATTAAATTAAACAGTCACGGACTCGCGAGCAACGGAATCGTTTGTTTTTCTTGTCTATTATTAAGGCTTTTTTTTAATTTTTGTGTAAAAACCGTGTATAATTACTATATTATTATAGTGTTAAAATAAGACAACTGCGTTATGAAAGTATAACATCATCGTTTGTTTCGTATTGTACGTCGAACACAAAATATCCAACTATTACCTAGGTATGCATTGATTATCGTTCGCTGTAGGTACCAATATGAAGAAATGGAACAAAAATCATGTAATGGAAGTGATGGGGGCAACGGGGTTATTTACCCTCCCTGAAAATTGAGCTCTGGAGTGATGAAGTTACAACTATTGTAATTTACATTGCGGTTTTTTTAAATAAAAAAATATAAGTATTATATTATATAATATATAGGTGTTTGTAATTTTCACCAAAATGAATACATATAATTCGCACTAATGCAGATAGTCGAAAATAACAATTGTAATTTATCTATACTAAAATGATATTTGAGGGCTTTATCTTCCCACATAATGTTTGACCACCCCTGATTCGAAATATTAATGATTGTATTAAACGGATTTAATAATAAAAAGCGACACATAAAAAGCTAAAACAAACAAGCAAAATTCTACGCAGCTTTATATTATATTGCACACCTTAAAACTCAATTACTTATAGGTAATTGCTATAGCATGTTTTTTTTTTTTTTATCACGAGCTCTTCGTAAATTAATATCGAATTGCAATCAATATAATAACTTATTATATTGACAGAACCGGATTAAGAGTTTACCGGGCCAGGAAAACATCAGTCCAAAGCGCCTTTACAATATTTATTACCAACAACTTAATTTTACCTCTTTACGAAATTTTTAATAAATTGTAATGTGACCAAGATAACGATCGTATAGAAAAGTCTCTTCAAATGTTAGATATGTTAGATGTCTGTTATGATAGTCATTTTTCATTTTATGTTTCATAACTAAAAAACTCTCTTCTTTTTCAGTTGTCCCGTTTAAAACTAATAGGGTTTGGACCCAAAATTAAAGACCCAAATATAATGTAAATATTCATACTGAAGTTTTGAGCCAAATATAGAGAGAACTTTAATTTATAATTACACAACGATTCAATACTAACGAAAAACCTTTGGTTATACATGTTTTGAAATTCAATTTGACATTCAAATTTTCCTGCTATTAAATTGTCAAGCATTTCTGTTTGGTCTGTTTGGTATCCACAGAGTATCTATCGAATAAAAAATTTCGTAGAAAACCTAGTAAAATTAAAATATCTATATAGTTAAAAAATGATTAAAATATTTTCAGAATTTTATCACGTCTAAAAACGGACATTTTTAATTGAATTACAACAAAAAAACAAAATTTAAAATTTTCAATTTTTCAATTTTTACTACGTTTTTCTCCAATTATTATGAAAACCACTTGGAATATCAAAAAATAACTTGCTTAAATTACCACCCAGATGAAATTTCCTTTCAGAAAACCATGTTTGAAAATCAGAGTTTCTGGTAAAAAAGTTATTTACAGATTAAAAAATAAAAAATAAAATAAACATCATTCTTGAAAAATAAATGCATTCCTCCCTTTTCGCTCAGAATCTAAAAGTATGTGACATGCATAGGATTTTCAATTAAACTTCAATAGTTAATTTAAATGAGAAGTTTGTATAAAACGTTTTTTGAGTTTCAAGTTTTGACACTCTTATATTTGAGTTCTTTAGTCCACTCATTGATTAAAAAAATAAAAATACACATATTATATTTAGAATTATTTATTAAATAATAGTATTATGATCTAACCATTCTTTTAGTTTACTTTTTAGGCTACGAATAGTAAAAATTATTATGAAAAATCATATTATTAAGGTACAAAATGAATATACAAGTCGGTTAGTTATAGGCAACCAAATCAACATTCCAAACTATCCGCATAATGTTGTACCTTGTACGTAAAGATAAAGTTGCCAAAATCGATTGGATTTTCTAATTAATACGAAAACTGTCGTTTTAATAAATTCTCGTGTTATACCCTGTCAGGGGCGTTCTTATGGGGGGGATATTGCCCCTTCGAGAGAAGTGGACTTAAATTGGAATTTGGCATAGTAATTGGTCCAGAAGTATTATTTCATAATTTTTTTTCTTATCAATCATTAATATTAAATTTAATTTTTTCATTCCCCCCCCCCCATAGCCAAGATCTGGAGACATTCATGTACCCTGTATAAACGTATATTATAATTTATTGAGCCCTTGAATTTTACCAGTAACGTGTAAATTACCTAATAGACTACAACATTTATATAATTTAAATGTTTAATTAACACAAAATTAATAATATTACTAAACGTACCAGATCAAGTTCTAGACAATATTTGTAAACTATAATATTCAATTATTATACATTAAAAAAAATAATAATAATAACTTATACAGCTGATGGGTGGTCTAAGTTTAAAATGAACAAATATTTCCTAAAAACATTGACAAGAAATCAAATATTTTAAATATGTGTTCAGAATTAAAATCGGGTGAGCCGTAGTTAGAGAGTGGTAATTTTACTCCAGCTTATTAGTTTAAAACGTCATATTCGTTAGTAAAAACTGCCGCTCGTCTTCACGGGAATTGTCAATGAATTAGTTGAATTAGGTGGTTATTAAAGCGCAAAAAAATTAATTTCAAATTTTACAAAATTGAAGGAAATTTGGACAACCGTTTCCCACTCCCTTTACACAGTTTATAAAAATAATATTTTAAGAAGGTTGGCAACTTAGATTAAAATATAATATGATATATTATCTATATTTGTGAATCACCATGGTTTCAAAAAAAAAATCATAAAGATAGTAATCATTGTTCTTGGAATAAATGTATAGACTGCAGTGTTTTGACTAGGATTGTTCACTTTGTCACCATTTCAGTTAATATGAGGCACTGATCGTCAGTAAGAACGCTTTCAAGGGAAAGTTGTTTGCGAAAGAAAGTGATAAACTGAAACGGGGCCGCAATGACGTATCTTTTGAAACCGATAGAATAATTAAATTTTCTCTGGCTATATTTTTAAGACAATCCAACCTTGATGGATTAACGCTCATTTTTGTCATGAAAATCATACAAATTGCCTATACGCAACTCCTTTAATATTAGGCATGTAACCATAATAAATTGCAACACACCCATCGTTACCAACACTTATTACCAAAAATATATCCGTATACGCGTATTATTACGACGATATAGCATAGGTAAATTATTTTCATAAAATTAACGTCGCGTCGAAATTATACACACAATATGAATATAAAATGTATAACGTCTGCAAGATTAGTTTCTGCCGTAGATCAAGAGAAAATACTACTTGGTTGATCAAATCTTAAACTAAGTTCTGTTACTACAGCTGTATTATGTTCAATATGAAATCATTATGGTTTCGCTTTGCGATAAATTTGTATAGGTGCTTTCGTTTTTCAACTCACAAACATGATGATGGCTAGGTACAAATAAAATGGAATAGTCAAATTTCTAATATATCTCTTTAAACTCTACATAACTCCATTACATATACTCTGCATAACGATTAGAATAACTGCTGAAACAAATACAACAGTATTTATAGTAGTGTTAAAAATGTATGTAATTTGCTACTGCGCATATAATTTTCCATTTTTATGTCTACTCCCACTCAACACTTTTCAAAATATTTACAAACAAATTTAAGTACTTACTTTTACCTAGGTATTCAATGTATTTTACTGAGATAATAATATAATATTACACCTATACGGTTTATACTGTATGATTCGACTTATTTAATTAATAAATAAAATCTTACCTACTGAATTAACAAATTATTTTAAAAAAAGTTAAACATACCTAGTAGGTATACTTCACACCAAATAGGTAGGCCAATGTTGATGGTGGAAAATTAGGAAGGTATGGGATTTAGGGTAGGTAATTTAGTTCTGTACACTACTACAAAAGTGCATTCTACAATTTGCCAATGTGCATTCCATGTTTACCACTGTCCACTGCACATAATCATAGGCCCTGATAGGTAGGTAATTCATAAATTAATTTATATAATACGATTAGACAAATGATTATTGTAAGCTTTCGTACGTTTTGTTGAATTTAAAAAATACACCTCTAAAGATATGAGTGAAATATCACTAGTGTTGAACAGATTAAATAATCAACTTTAAGTTTAATAACAAGTTAATTAATTCTAATTTATTAGATTTGTAGGAGAAATAGGTTAATTAAAACAGACAATACAAAGTAGTCCCCCGTTGAACACAAATCTGCCATGTCAAATAGCAAATGTGTGAATTGCATCCTCTTAAATGCCATCAAAATAATTATTATGGTTTTTTATATAATTTTTTGAACTTTTATTAAATATAAGAAATTTAAAATTTTTAAAGTATTAATTATGTAATCTAATTTAAAATTAAGATCAATGTGTTTTCGAGAAAGTATACTTGCTATTTCTAAGTTTAGTATTTTTACCCACACTTAGCAGTTCAAGTGGAGAGGAAAAAGTTAAAATTGTTATGACAGCAGTCCATATTCTAGACAACATAATTTGTTTTACATTTGTGGTGATCTCGAAGCAGTCTAGTAACAATTTTATTATTTGTAATAAATATTTAATTCAAATAGATTTTCAAAAATACATGCCATATTATTATTTTAATAATATTATATTATTAGACAAATACTAATAAACTATTTTAAAATTTAACATTAAATTGAACCAAACACCAATTCATCAATAATTAATATTATTTTTACAAAGTAAATTTTGGGGAGGTAAAAATGCTTACAAATTGTATATAATAAATAGCAATAGTAAAATTAATAAATATTTAGATGATAATTAAAAATATTTAAAATTTAAAAAATGACTACTTGTTACAGTACTAGATTTTTTTATGAATCCAACAAAAATGTATAAACATTTTTTTTTGTATTTGTTTTATAATGATGTTTATTTTTTTTATCTATGAAGAACTTTTCTAACAGAAATCTTGCTTCGATTTTCCTATTAATAGTATCTTTTCTGAAAGTAAATTTTATCTGTGTAGAACTCCAGGGAGGTCATTTTTTGATTTTACAAGCAATTTTCATAATAAATGAGAAAAACAGGAAAATTTACAAAATGCATTATTTTCAAATTTTGTTATGATTTAGTTACAAATATTGGTAGTAAACTTGAAATTTGGACAGAAAACTTATATTCACATTTTTGAGTATATCCGTATTTTTTAAATTGAGTTATGCGACTCAATGTATATATAATTATAATATTATATTATTGCATGGAATAATAAAACAATCAAAGTTTGGTTTTCAAGATTTATGGTAAATCACAAGAAACTTTCTTTACCTACAGAAATAAATAAATAATTATAATCTGCTACTACTTTTCATACCAAAAATAGTGTTTTTAAAAATTGATTGTTTTTTTTTTTTATTTCTATATTATTATATATACTTTTGAACATATTTTTATACTAAGGATGGGCTGCTTCCGGTTCCTCATTTCCAACAGATTTTTAATTATTTATTGTTCTACCTCAATTGTTAGATAAATATTTTAATATTAGTTTGAGGTAGGTATAAATAAATGAGTAATTTATAAATAACAAAATTATATTGACTAATATTTATTACAATTTATTGAAAGGCAAAAATATAGCAAAAATTTAAAATTGACATGAATACAAATGTTATTGTTAAAAGCAATTGCATTAGTTATTGAATTACATTTTTTTAATTATAATAATAAATTAACACAATTTTTAGAGTTATCTATTTTAATATTATATAGCAGCAGTAAAATTGATTTCAAATAATAAGAATATAATCAAATTTTTGCGCTCAAGTCATTAATTAACAAACTATGAACGATTATTGATATCTATACATAAGTATAGAAGGTGACACCTGTAATTTAACTTAAATTTGTATAGCATTACTTACGCAGTATCTAATTATCAAATTTTTTGTGTACACGTAATAAAAAAAAAAAAAAATCATATTTCACAAGATTAAAAATATAATAAATGAATAATATTTAACTAATAATATAGGTTCCTTATACAAGTGTATGCTTAAAAATATGAAAATTGAAACATCAATTGTATATAAAGATAGTCTACCCTTCAATAGCATTAAGTTGATTATTAAAAAAAAAATGTGATTAAAAAAAAAAATATTCAAATTATTGATTTTGTGACATTACTTTTAGATAATGAAAAGCGCACTAAAAATTGTGTGTTTATTATGTTTCTACTGTATTATATTAAAATTAAGTACTAATATATATATTTATATAATATATGTATATGCATAGGTATATCTAACCAGTATTGTAAGAATAGAAGTTCTAAGAAAAAATTAATTCACACATAAAACTGTAATTGCGTTATTATATAAGGGCTAAATACTATAAATGATAAATGAATAATGTAAATTTTAAAAATTATATGACACATACAAAATTAACAGTTTTTAGGACGAATAGTTCATTTAAAATAGAAACTTAAAATATTATAATATTAATATAATTAGTTAGGACTTAGAACATTCTTATTAAATAGTATACGCTAATGAGTATCGGCAATATACCAGCAACAATAGTCTCTGATCCGCTGTTGATGTCTTTGCATGCCTCCGGTTTGTTTTTAATCACCGAACATACAGCATTGAGGAAATGGGACTCTGCCAAATTTTCTGTTTCATTTGTATATGTCTATGTTGGGCATAAAACACATAACAAACAATTGGTTATGTAAGTACATTATGTATTTTTGATTTTGATAAAATTAGTATTACCTTGTTGAAGACAATCCTGGGTACGGTTGTAACATGTTCAGTAATAGCTTTGTTGTAATCATCTTTTAATAGTGGTAAATATTCTGTATAATTACTGACACATGTTTTGATCGAGTCAACAATGGAAGCGTTAACGCCACTTTGGTTGCCACACTAAAAAAAAAAATTGAAAGATATAATAATAATTAGTAATCATGATTAGTTATATTTGGATTATCAAAAATGGTTTTATTATTTGTAGTTGAAAGTAGGTAACAAAATAATATTGTTAAGTAGAACTTTGAATAACTATTGCTCAAGAGATGTAAAAATCAGCGATACAAATATAAATCTTCTTTGACACAATGTCTTCAATAAGAAATTTGTATAATCAACACTAATTTTAGGGAAAACAGATTTTAAAACTAATAGAAACTTGAAATACACAAAAAAAATATACATACATCTATATTAGGTTTAGTGATTTAATGTCAATTAGTATATGCGTGACAAATAATATTATAAATCAACTTTTTATTTAAATAAATATAAATACCGTGTCTACTGATATTGGATTAGGTTTATTCTTGTATCCTTCGTTTAATGCGCATACAATAAATTTCACCAAATCATCTTTTTTTTGGATATATTTGATAGCGCAAGCATGTACTTTATCAGCATCACATTCTCCATTACGTTTACAATGAATTGTAGTGTTTCCAGTGGTTTCATTAAACTAATTTAAAAATTTAAAAATTTAAAAATTAGCAGACAATAATCTCAACGAAATGTATTTAAGTACAATTCAATGATTTTAACAAACTTAACTAACCTGTCCTTGAGAAAAAGGAATGAAATTGACTTCCACATAAGCACTTAATTTATTGTATACTGGTAAAAACTGCTGTTCCATAAAATTAACAGAGTCTTTGCATAAGCCTTCGTAATATATATCAATTGGTAAAAGTGTCTGAAAAAAAAAAAAAAATACATAAATAAATAAACAATTTGTTATTTTCATATTCTCAAATAAATAAGTAACAGGGGGAAATAGTTTAAATAAGGTACACTAACAATGAAAACTATTACAAAACAGATCCTCTAAAAACTCGTCATAATATTATTAATCAAATCAAACAAATTCAATCGATTTTACCACAGTTTGCTAAATAAAATATTTAGGTGCTCGTTATATCATAATAATAAACGTAGCTAAACACCAAAGTATTTGTTTGCATCAAATATTTAAATAATTGGATTTTCTTCGTTTTTTTTTTTATAAATAATTAAACACCTATGCATTGAGCAATTTTTGAGAAACTTCGGGAACTTAAATATTGGTGAAAAAAATAATAATGTTACCATTAAAATTAAGATCAGAAACCAGGGTATAGGTATTAAAACCCGGCATGAGTCTATATTTTTACACCCAGCCTACTGCGTGCAGTCGCGTCTAGCTGTTAAGAACATTGTCCACTCATATATAGGTATATATATATTTTATTTGACGCCAAAATTCTATCATCGTTCGTCGTAAACGTCTACGAGTTGTTATACTTGTTTTTATGATGTCGAGCAGGCGTCGAGCAATACCTAACTTTATTATTGTAAAACAATGATCGACAAAAAACAAGTGCGCAAAATGCACGCGTCTATTGTGTAACCTATACTCGAGAAAATGAAATTATTTCTGCCGGTATTTTTATAGGTAGGTAGATAGGTAGGTAACGAAAACATGGTAATCACCTGCGGTAATATTTGAAGAATACAATATGTCGAAAAAATAGGTTTTAAAAATATAATATATATATATTAAATCATTTTCGTATGCATTTTTTGTTGTTAATATACCACACTGAATGTTATACCGTACTATATTATAGGAAACATTTTATACAGAAAAATAAAGATAATATTATCTATTACCTGCGTATATTATAATTTACAAGGGTGATTCGCAATGTTATGTTAAAAAAATGGCTATGGAAATAAGTAGATAACAATCACAGAGATGGGACGGTTTTAACGTTATTCTAATTGTTAAGTATGTACTTAAAAAATACGAATTTCGGGTTTATCTATACGAAATTGTATACGGTTCGGGTTTTGGTTTTCGAAAGTAGTTACACGCACAAAGCATCGCGCTTTAGAGGCCCCAACGTCTAGTCGCAATATTAGTTAGGTAGTAATTGCGCATAATTAGTTAAATACAGATTAAAATTAACAAGAACTAAAAAAAATTGTAAAGATTTACCTACCTTTGGTATTAGAAGGTGAAAAGTAAAAAAAAAAAGCTTATTAAAAACCAAATTTATAGAGATCCCTCAAAAATTACTGCATAGGGCCTCATCGATATTTTCCAAACCAGTTCCGTAATCAGAACAATTATTCAGGGGGAAATAAACCGAGTTATAAACGGGGCATTAAAAAAAACAATATTATGACTTTTTACTTTTATATTCCTTTTTCGAATACAACGATTAGTTTGAAAATGTCCGTCTTCCGATAACAATTCTAGGAGCGGCAACAAAGAACGGGCCAAAATTGTATACGCTTGAATTTTTTTTTTTTAGAAAGCTAAATAAAATATATCCAACGGGGCAAAAGTCGTCTCGGTTAAAATACGCAATCCAATATTCACTATATGGGTACCTATAGAGTGTATAGATTACATCATCAATGTTTGCTCCCCGGTCCCCTGTGTCTAGCCGCGGTCATAGAATTATTTTTTTTAAATGGCATATTTCTCTCTCATTGTTCCGCATCACAATGCACAAAGTTCAACGCACCTGGACTGTTCAAACATTTCGCGGTCTAATATAAAAATAAAAAAAATTATGGCAATAATAATACATTCATCTCGTAAATCATTTTTTTTTTTTTAAACAATCGTTTTTATCGTTCGAATGTAGTGAGCCGTACCTATTATTGCCTACCTATAGCTTGTATATTATACTCGTATATACTTTATATATGTACATTTTTAGACATTCCTTCCCCCACCCCAAAGACAATTTAATAAAAAAAAATGAATCAAGTATGATTTGTTTTTAATACACGAACGTTTTAATGTTATTATAATTTATAGGTGTATCGCGTAATCGTTTGTACGCGCGACAAGTCCATTAAAATAGTCGAAAATCCGGTGCAATCGATTATTTCAATAAATAATAGTAGGCGCCTATACATACTATACACATTACATACTATACACACGTGTCGTTACGGTTCCATTTCAATTAATGCGGTTTAACGATAATAGAGACACGATAATTATCTACCGTCGTCATTCGTTCGGATACCACAACTACCAGACGCCGACTTGTTATTTCGGACGGTGAACGGGCGATCCCACCTCAAACCGATGTCGAGGAACGTTTTACGATATAACGTAATGGTGTTTTTGGAAATAATAATCGAGTACTGGCCAACAAAAATGCAAGGAGAAACGTTCAAAACGCCAACTGATGAGTTACACGTTTACGAAAAAATACTAGCCGATACGGCCGACGGGCGTGACATTGTAAACAAGCGTGAAGTCGAAAAGTTTTTTTAATTTATACATTTATATGCCTAACGCAGTGATTTGTGTCATTCAAACATGAACTTTAAAACAGTTATAAAAATAAAAAAACGGATCAGCTTCTTACATCGAATAAAAATTTTAATTTTTTTTTAACCGTCAAGTACAACTTAATATAACGAACCCGGTGATAAGTTTTCGAACAGTCCTTCGCAGGAAACCGCATAAAAACTCCGAGAGCCTATTCGAACGTTTTAGGTACCGCCGCCGTTTTATAGAAAAGGCCTGCAAATATAAGTATCCTGTGAAAATGTCGTCGGGTCTCTAACGAAACGGACCTATATATAATATTTCGTTCCGGACAAGTATATACCTACCTAATAATAATAATAACAACAATAATATATTATTATCAAACGCGCATTACAATATTATGTATATGGTTGAAATAATATAATAATTACATAGGTACCTAGTGTAATAATATACGAGTGAAAAGTTCGAACCGGCGTCGTCGTCTTTCACCTAAAATACCTCCGTATTATAATAAATCGGCGTCCTGTACAGAGATACCTACCGCAGTGTAATCGCATCACGATAATAATATAGCAACGTAGATGACGATAATAACAACAACAATAATGTATATACATGTATACCTACACTGTGCAATGCAACAATAATAAGTAAGTACGTACGACAACTTCTATATAATATTACTTACTATAGGTATTCACGTGCGGTAATGAAATAATCGTCGAAAAATAATGACGCCGCGCGTATAGGACGCGTACGCGCCGGGGTACGTTAATAAATCGTACGCTATTAAATATCATAAAATAATTTGTGGGATCGAACCGAATAGGAGGGGGGTAATACGTAGGGTGGTCACAAAAACAAACAAAAAAGCTATCCTAGGATAATGGGGACGGGTGTAGCGACTGTAATAGGTAATTGAATGTACATCTGTGAGCAACGATTAACCGTTGCTAACGAAAAAACGATTCTGAACGGAGTTCGATTGAAAGTGTTGCTTTGTTAACAATATATATGACAATATTATGGTAAAATAATTGCATTATGTATTTTCTTTAATAATATTGTACCTATTTTCCCGTTTTATCCCGTTTATTGGGAAAACTTCTGGGGAAATCAAAATATGACCTCCCTAAAGTAACTCCCCAGTCAGATTTCCTTTCAGAAAAAGCGCCATCATTGAATAGTGGAACAAAATTGTTGGTAGAGAAGTTGTTCACAGGAAAAATAAAGGGCCGTAATATTTTTTTTACTAATACCTACATTTTAAACGTTTTCTCGTTTTTTTTCAGTTTTTCCCATGTGTTTGGAAAACTGCTGGGAAAACCAAAATTACTTCTTTAAAGTACCACCCCCTTAGTTAGGTGAGACAATTTCCTATCAGAAAAGGATCTATATCACATATATCAGAGTAAGCTTTCTAGTAGAAAGTGTTCACATCTATGTAAAACCAATACATTCTTCTTGCTCCGCTCTAAATCTAAAAAATTCAATAAAGATGTTTGTTTTGTATATAGTTTTCGATAAGATTGAATTATTTTTTTAAATGTATGCATGGAATATGCATACGATTCATTAAGCGTGTTGATCCCATTTTTATCGTACTTCGCATACGTTCAAATTCTGATTTTTGGAACTTTGTTCGTGTAGTTTAAGCCGATATTTTCGAACATTTAGATTTTTTCCTACATTAAAATAGAAAAAAACCAAAGCAAGTGTCACCACAGGATATGCTTTAAATGCTGTGAAAAATCTAAATATTCGAATGCATCGGCTTTAATTACACTCAAAAATTATAAAAATAAAAATTTAACCGAAAAAATGAGGCGAGCGTGTTTAATCAATCACCCTGTATATAATATATACATATTGTAAATTTAGGTCGAGAAATCGAAAAGTTCAAGTGTTTGTATGAGGTTCATTGGTGCAAGAGAACGGACAAATTGCGTGGGGAGTATAGAGCATAGCACCGCTATCGAGTGCTGCACGAACTAGTACGATTAGGCGTGTCTGGATGAAGTGTGGAGGGAACGAGATCAAGAGCATCGTGTGATTTAAAAATGCGTGCCCGACATAATAGAATAGAAACAAAAGAATAAAATAGAAATTGTGTAAATCTGTTGAGACCAAGCGTTTGAGCATTGAATAATTGAAAAAACGGAAGTAGCGGAAGTGAGAATGTCAATGTGGGCATGCGGTGGTGTAACGGGGTTAGAATTAGGAATGCATATACGAGGGCTAATCAAAAAGTATCGAAACCGAGCATTGAAAAGCAGTAGAATTGGTATCACTTCAATGTGTGTTTCTGAGCACATTTGTTATTATAGATTCTTTATAAACTACTCCGGTTTGATTTCACCGATATTTTTGTATAAAATGTTTTTCGAGTTTGGCGATATTGTAATGAATCCAAAAGAAAAGCCCCTCAACAATTTTGGAGATTTCAGAGAATTTCATGATTTAATGACCAACAAATTGTAATTGAAAAACTTTATGCCACCGAATGGCAGCAAGTTTCTCTTCTTTTGAATTCATTATATTAAATCGCCCAACACGTTTATAGGCGTTTATATAATATCAAAAATAGATGTGCTACAGAAGAAGTCATACATAGAAGCCAGGGTTACCAATCATTTTGCTCTTCAACGCTCGGTTTCCGAATAATATTATCAGTCTCGATACTTTTTGATTGGTCCCAGAATTATTATTATAAAATACAGCGAGTATTTCAAGAACGAAAAAAGACGGACATACTTTGCGCGCGGGTGGACCGCTGTTGTAGGGAGAGAAGTTAGCAAAGTAGAGATGAAATTTCATTTATATCTGTACACAACGATTGACCATTGCTAACGAAAAACGAATATGAGTGTAGCTCGTGTAATAGTGTTGCTTTGTCAACAATATAATATATGTTATATTAGGGTAAAATAATTACAGAATGTATGCATTATATATTTTCTTTAATATTGTCAACTCCTGAGGAAAATCAAAAGTAACATCCCGGTCAGATTTCCTTTCAGAAAAATGGCAATCGTTGAAAATCGAAGTAAAACTGCAACTAGCAAAATTGTTCACAGGGGGGGGGGGGAAGGCAATACATTTCGTACATTTTCCCGTTTACCGGAAAAACTCACGATAAAAACTCATTGAATGAAATCAATACGTTTCTCGCTCCACTCGGAATCTGAAAATCGATAAGTACACGTTACAGTTTCGCATGCACCGGCATCGGATTTTCGCCGGTGCAAAATACAGACCGTTCGTTGTTGACAATTTTTCACGGGTCCGTTATTGTGTACGGCGGTTTACCCCCGGGTACAAGTGTACCGGACGAATTTGGCGCGTTCCCGCGACGAAAATGTTGGCTGCGCGCCTCCCGTGCGCGGTACAGGCGCAATGCTGCGCCGCGGCACGTACGACGTAGGCGCGTTTCGGAATATTGTCCGGGCCGCGCCGCCGCCGGTTAGGTTGACGGCAATAAGGCCCCGCGCCGCGGGAACGGGCGGGGTTGTTTTGTTCGTTTACCGAATAGAAATTCAATATTATAATAATAATAATAATAATAATAATAATATAAGTATATAATATAATATTATGCATTATGTAGGGTTAACGGCGGTGGCGGCGGCGGAGGGACGAGTCGTCTGGGCCGGGAGTGATTTTTTTTTCCGCCCCCCCCCTTCACGTTTTTCCCGTCGGCGCGGCTAGTAGACGCGTATCCGTGTAGGCCCGTCCGCGGGGCAGACCGGTCGGCGGGCGACGCGGCGGAGAGCCGCCGCGCCGACGGGGCAGCGTGGGTCCCGCACGCCGTCTGGACCGTTTTGTTATTATTCGCGTGCGAAATCTCTCCCTGTCCCTCCGCTCGTCGAACGCGATCCCGCCGCCCCTCTCCCACCCGTCCCCCGCCGATTACGGACTCGTACCCCGCCAACGTCGCCGCCCGTAGGCTCGCAACCCCTGCGGAGGCCGCCGCGGAACCCCTATACCGTGCACATATATACTACTATTATGTTCGCGCGAGACCGGACTCGAAACAACCGCCGTCGCTGTCGCGCACCGAACGTCCTGAAATAATAATACAACGCGGGCACTGTAATAATATGCGAGTATATTATTATTATTATTATTATTATTTACGCGCTCAATTATTATATACAGGGCGATTATCGCGCGTACCCCGGCGACGATTGCGACAACAAAGATTTTTCGTTTTTTTTTTTTTTTTAATTTCCCACAGTCGTCGTGCGAGAATACAGAACCGTTTGAACGACGCGAGCTGAATGGAAATATTCGTTCGCCTCTCTACGCCACATAATGTGTGTATCTCCGTAAACGCTTAATGCAAGCCCCCCCCCGTACACAGTGCTAGTGGTGGGGGGAGTTGGTGTTCAAACCCCCCTCCCGACATCTTTAAAATAGGTATATACTTATGATATAATAAATACTAGAACTATACAAGTTGACGTGTTAAAAATGTTTTAACTACACCCTTTCCCGAAAATTGATCCTGAATGCGTATTTGACGCAATGTATCGACTTTAGATTTTCAGACACGCGCGGTGTTTTAAGTCCGGAAAAGACGTCGTTTGAAAAAAATATTATATTCACGACGCTAATATCGGATATGTATTATCGAGATTTTATCGTTATAGCCATTACAGTTTTATACATGATTCGGGGCCCCCGGGAGAGTAGTCGTGGGACGATACATTTTTTTTTAAATCCGCGTTTAGAAAACCCTTTTCAAAATGTCGATAATATTTTTTACAAGATCGCATTTAACGATTTCTATTATAACGACTGGACGAAAAGAAACCCCGCCCCACAAAATCAAATTTACTCGAAATAATCGTAGAAGATCGTCGGTTTGCGATCACCCCGTATATGAGTATAGTGGAACGCTCATTATTATTAATGACACGCGGTAAATCAAAAACGGCCGACAAGACGAAAACGAATATTGCCGTCCGACGATATTTCCATTAGGAAAAGTGCCAGTGCGAAAAATACCCATAAAAACCGTTTGTCTTTAATCTCGAATGTTTTTAAATTTTTTTTTTTTAATATTATTGTCTAAAGCCATACTCAGTTTTTTAATGAAATCGCGACAATAAGGTTTTCTTTTAACTTATTGCTAAATAATGAATGTATATTTTAAAGCAGACCGATGTCAAACGAAAAATTGAAAAAAAAAAAAATCGAAAATTAAGCCGAGTATAATGTTATTTCCTGGAATTTAACGAAATTACGACACTTGGAACGCGTATACTGAATCAGTGTAAATATGTTAGTCAAAGACGTGTTTTAGAAGAACAAAAGGATTTCTTTTTTTGTACCAGTTAGTATCACTATACACGTATAAAATAAATGTTTTCTTTGACAGTATCGTAATAATGCCGTATTATTGATTCACATTCATCGGTCGGTACGCCTTTAGGCTAATCAGATCGCTACAATCCGGACGCGAAGTCAAATGGGACCAGGGCGGCTCGGCTTTGTAGCTTGGCCCCGTTAGATAAAAACTATAGACACGTTTGTAAAAAACGTAAAAGACCAATTTAAACATAACTAATTGCCGTTATAACGTGCGACTATTGTACAAAATGAACCGACACAAATGATTTGTAAATAGTGAGCGACTGCAATTATTAACGTTTCGTGTCATTCCCCGATACGTTTTCTTTCCTTCGTAAAAATAATTAATAAACACACACGATCGCGAACAGTCAATTATTAGCGCGATACGAATTGATTAGGCTTCAGACATATTTACGCATACATATAATAATATTTATAATAATGCATATATTATAATCGTGACGGATAACGCTTTTACAAAGCTTCGTTCCCCTCACTTTCAAGTCTTTAGATTACGGCCCGAAATACGTTACGCGCGTATATTGCCTGTTTTACTCCTTAAAAAAAATAAATAAATAAAAATAGCCGCACGTGTAGCAACAATATTATTAAATACTCGTGTAACAATACGTCGTTTTCGTTGGGCACGGTTAACAGTTTTTCATTCCCACGCGCAGTAAAAAAGCGGCGTCAACGAAAACCGAAAAAAATATAAAATACAAATATATATATAAAAAAAAAAAAAAACCGGTCTTTATCGGACTCGAAATATCATAAAAATAATAATCATTTGTCCGTACCTAATAATATAATATAACCGTTTTCCAGCAACACACCACACACACACACGTATAATTCCCCATGGAATACTATACGACATTATTACGCGCCGTATGATAAATTATTATTGTTCGAATACTCCGATTATAACACACGGTATATATTTAAATAAAAAATAACGGTCTAGTTTAATTCGGCCTTTAAAAAAGAGCGTCGGGGGCCGGGCATCTCGTTACATTGAGACGTATGACAAGATACGTTAATGTATTTTTGTTACCTATACACATGCGAAATTATCGCGGAAAAATAACGTACACGAACACCATACTGTTTTTTTGTTTTTTTTTTTTGTTTTACTATCTGGTACTATTACTGCGACGGTACCGCCAGCCACCGGCGACGGACTAGTGGGTAAAATATTGAAAAACAGGTACCGATACGATTCGTTCGGTCGAAAATTGTCGTTGAACCGTTGTAGAAAAATTGATGGAAAAAAGCTACGCTAACACAACGAAACTGTGTTGAAATTATTATTATTATTAGGGGGGAGGGGGGAAAGACGTGCTTACGTCAGTCATAACGCCTACAGTACAATATTATTTTGTTGTTGCGTTATGGGTATTTTTTTCGTCGTACCGCACGAATGTAAACAGTAAACACGTTGATTTTGCGCGGACAGATGCTCAAATAAATATTGTATCGGTATAGATAGAGAGAGAAAAAACAAAAAAAACTTAACTCATACCGTATACAGTGTATTGTATATGGGGCGCAAGTGTTTTTATAGAAAAAAAAAAAAAAAACGTTTGTTACAGCCGTCGCGATCGTCAAACAAAACAACACCTATGTACGATACCAATCTACCTGTGGATAATATTATTATCTAGGGCATTGTAATAAGTAACGGAATGCAAAAAAAAAATTATAAACTATGTATTTTAGGCAACCGTTGAATCGGCTTCCGACAATGGTAAAATATAAAATCGGTCCCGAAAAATTCAATCGGCTATCAAAACCATCAAAGCGCTCCAAATCGTGCAGTATTTTCACTCCCCCACCCCTCCCCCTTCCGAATGTACAGTTCCAACGATTCGTATGTTCGGAAATATTTTAATTTCACACAACATCGATCGTCTTTCGTTATCGACAAGCGCACACACCAGCGTCGTCGGGTTTTCCTACAAGCAGAACAAGCAGGCGGCGATTGGAGCGGTACCATTTTGACGGGCGACAAATGTGTCACTCGTATAGAAAATAAAAAGAAATAAATCATATATTTTCGAGACGACAAACAGTGGGTCTCGTTTTTATTTTCGATATCTTATATTATGACAATGATTTTATAGACTTTTCGAAAATTTTAAAAATCCGTATCGGTTTCATTGAAAATTTGCTAGGACAGATACAGATTTCTTAGTGTACGTTTAAATGCGTTACATTTCGAAAATTGGCCGTCTTAAGGTAACGGATACTAAAAAAACATGTTTTATACGAGGCTACTTTTCACGAACTTTTAAATAATAAACAACATATTTGTTGTTACGCTATTTTTGGTTTAGAAAAAAAAAACAACTGTATGATGACGATGAAAGTGCGGCAAATTTCCGTTTATTTATAGGCAGCAAATTATTGGCTGATCCACCACTGGTGCACACGGAATTTGAAAACACGCCCGCATACCTAGACTCGTGTATACAAACAAATAATAACATTTCGGTGACCAATGTATTTTTGAAAAAACTGCGCACGGAACCGAATTCAATAGTAAATTCGTGAAAGCCAAAATTCGATTGTCATCCCTACACATATTATTAATAATAATTGAAAATGTATATATATATATATTTCTTTGTTAATTTCTAGTATAATATTTGCAGTATAATTTAAAATAAGAAAATGTATAATAATGCAGGTAAATATAATTTGTTCCTTACCACGTTCGCTTAAAATCTATTATTATTACATCTATTATCTATTATTACATACATACATCTATTATCCAATTATCCAATAACGCTATTAACGGTAGTTCTTTTTCCAAATGTATTTCAGAACTTTCCGCATTAATAAATCTCCTCATTTCCCTCCTTGTAGCCGCACTGCACAAACAACAAATTCCATAGCCCAATTATCTCTACCTCATTAATCTGACCACCATTATGTATCTATTAATAGATTGTGAAACCACTGTTATTCATTATGATTATTTTGTATTAAAACTTAAAATATTTAAGCATATTTAATCGCATGATAATGACTTAAACATTTTTATTTTTACGTTGTTTTATCTTTCTGTTATTTCAAGTACCGTAGTTGTTGAGCTATGACTTGTCTAATACGAAAATATCATATTATTTAATTTTGTATACTACGTGTAATTGTTGAGCTGAATGGTTTTCATTCACAGCTTTTTTTTTTAAAAAAAAAAAAATTACTAATGAATTATGTTATTATAAAATTACTTCCAAGAAAACACATTAATCACGACAATTATATTATAATACTCGAAACGACACAGCGGATTTATTATACTCAAAAGATAATTAATTCTAACTATGTACGTATGATAAATCGCACATAAAATTATTCTTAGAGATGGTAGATTACAACACGGATTAACGATCGGTGCTATTGACAAATTATTTACATTCGATTATCGATCGGCACAGTTGATGTACCTATACCTTTTCTTCTTTTCTTTTTCTGCCCTATTCTTCTTGCTACCCGTACCGAACAAAATTGGAGAAAAATTAACGAAATAAAAAAAAAAATCGCCAAAATTTGAAATTTTACACTACGGCTAGAATAGGTCTATTTATAAGTATTCTGTAAAAACGTCAAGTGTCAAAAAAAAAAAAAAATTTTCGTTTGCATTTTTTCTCGGTTCTACCCAATTGTATCAAGTTGTACGGAGAATCAAAAAGTGACCTATCCCGTTTAAAAAAAAATCAAAAAAAGACAATTAGACCACGGTTTCCGGCGGCCTCGATTAACAAACGGGGAGGAGGTGGAGGTGTAACATAAACCACCGCAGTAAAACTGCACGACACTCGTTTTCCAACAAACCGCATTCTTTTTTAATACCGATTCATTTTACTCGGGTATGTTCGAATTATTCGAATTGAATAATTGATAATACGCACGTGATAATAACATTTGTTTCTGAAAACAATGCCAATTATAATATAAATTTTCAAAATATAAGTGACACATTAAATTGTACAATATTAATTATTTAAAACAATTTATAATTCCCCGGCCGAACAACAACAGCTATACTTCAGTTTGTATTATTATAATATGTATATTTTCGAATGCGTGACTTGCAACGTTTTTTCGGCAGTATACCTAACCCATACCGATTTTATTGATATACCTAACTACAATAATAATAAATAAAAAAAAAAAACAATAATAAATAAATAAAACGATTATATTGGGGTTTCGAAGGCGATAATAAATACCTAATAACAAAAACAATAATTACGTTACACTATCGCGCCGAACCCCGAACACTAACCATATAACCAAAACTCTTATCTTTTTTTTGTGACATTTACCACGTGCAGTAACAATATAATATTATTATTATCGTAACAGATAGTATTTCTGTTATTATTTTGACTGTTAAATTTATCGTCATAATAACATTTTACTCACGGACGCGATACAATAATATGATTATATATTATTATAATTGCTTTAGCATTTTTTTTTTTTTTGTTCTATACTCGTGCGTATCGAGATAATCGCGCTACACGTTTCTGTGTATACAAATTTAATGGGACACGCCAAAGAGCTGCGCTCCCTTCGATGCGGGTATTATTGAGGTTAGAAAACGATACGGGAAATGCCGAAACAACGATAAGACGCGTCCGTCCGATATCCGATTTCCAAAAAATCAAATTTAACATTTTTCATAACGTAAAAACGGGGTTTAATTTTTTTTACAATAGAAAAGCGACGGTGTTATCATATAAGATTTTTATTTTTTGTTTATTTAAGCTACATAGATTATTTTTTATTAGGCCCGCCTATACTTTACGATCCAGATGCGAAATTTATACGACTTAATTTATCACGTGTAAACGCATAAGGTCGAGTAGGTATGGAGACTTGTATATTTTACGGTATTGGAATTTTCGACCGAACTACACCCGACATGATATGTATGCGACGATAAATCACAAATTGGTGTTTACAACACGCGTAAATCGTCAAACAAAGTCCATTCGGGTCCTGATCGTTAACTATATTATAATATTATACACAATATAATAATATATTACACACGTCGTATCTCTGAACTCTTCAAGTGTTGCACACATTACCGCGGTGCATCCAACTACTACACTGGCTCGAGTGGTCATATTTCATAGGCATTCGAATTAGCCGTTATATTGTATGTTGAAGAAGGAATTGTGTCGCGACGATAGGTTCGGATACGGTTCAGATCCTCATCGAGCGGATTACACTCGTAATCGAAAAAAAAGACGCTCGATTCACAGGACGAAAAAGCGAACAAATTTCAAAAAACTCGGCCGATTCGTGTTCGAGAAACAGTCATTTTCTCAGTATAGCCATTCTTATTTTTCCAAACGTACGCTGTACAATGTTTTACGTTAAAAAGTCGTAGAACGAAGCGATACATGTATTGGTTTTAATGCGGTTTTTTTTTTTTTAATTCCATTTATGTGAACAAACTTTCCATCAAAAACCGTATAGCAACTTTCTCGTAGCGAATTTGATCTGATTAGTGCATTGGAAAGGTCATAATTTTGATCCTCTTTATAGTAAAAATTGTAGTTTCTTAATAAAAATGGGAAAATACCGACAATTTTTTACAGAATTTTTACCGATTTCCGATTCATCTTATCGGCAACAAGGAAAAAATACGACTCTGCTCTGAATCGTTTTTCGTAATTATTATTGATTTATAGTTGCATACAGATATAAATTTAATTATTTTACATCATGTATCATTCCTTCGCACTTTCTTCTTAAAACCAGTTCTTAGCATTTATAGTATTTTGTTTAACAAAATGTATTGGATGCAGTAAACCGTCAACGTTTCAAACTAGGTAAGTATACGAAATTATACTGGGGCGAATTTTTAGTTATAGTGTCATTGAAACGCTCAAACGATTTATTTTCGAAGAACTAAGCATTATTACGTTATAAAACATACAGAACGCTCGAGACTCGTTTGAAATATACTATGCAAAATCAAAATGTCTATATTTTTTTTTTCTAGATCATAATATTTTACATTATTCCGAAAGTACGGGTATACATTTTCGGAGTACGTTGACTTAAATTAGTGTAAAACACAAATAATATTCATAAGGTGACAGTGTGCGTGCGTATGTTTCTCGTTTAATACAAATATGTAGAAAAAAAAAAAAATAAAACACAACAAACGTATTCAAAACCATGCATACAATGGACGTTAATTACATAGAGGGAAAACAGAGTATATTATATATACTATAATTATATTCATCCAATGCGATGGGAACCTTCCGCGTGACTCGAAACAATCTATACATATATTATGTATACGTGCACATTTTAACTTTAAAGAACAGAACCGTAAATTCGTACGATTTTAATTAATATTATCTACGAATGGAAATAATGTTGCGATCTCGTTTGGTGTTTACCTAAAAAGTGAATATTACGTTCCCGATGGCACGCAATATAAAGCAACACATGTCACTGTACACATTCGTCATTATTGTATTGTTTTCATTTGAAAAATGCACGACGACAACGTAGCGAATTTACACGTTCAACAGAACCAATTGAAGTCGAAAATGAACGATATAATATAGCCGACACGACTATATTAATAAGTCGAGAGCATTCGGTCGGTCGGTTTTTTCGATGTTTTAATTTATGAGCGAGACACAAGCGTTATTTTTTTTCTTTTTTAATTGTAATATTTCACACATTATAACTTATATCTCGTTAAAAAATTTAAATATCGAATAAAAACATCCAACGTACAAACACTTAATATTTTATTTACTATTAAGTTTGATATATAACTAGTCAATTCAATCTAATAATATTTAAAAAAAAAAACCTATAGCGCGAAATTGCTATGTCATGTGTTTGTACGACGGCGTTTTCTTAGAGGCCATTCACACGATGCTTTTTTTCTAGCGACTATAGTAATGATATTTATTTTTTTTTTTCAATAAAGTATTTCCGTGTTTAAATGGAAAGACGATAAAGTCCACTGGACGCCCATGTGTAGATTAAGATTTTGCTTACTGCGCGTCCGCTGGAAAAAAAAATGGTAAGTAACTGAATTATAACGAAATATTATGGTTTTAATAAGATATATATTCTTACAGGTGCGAAATGGGGTAACCTGGAAAGGTCCAAAAGTTAAAGGGAAAATTTGGTCTGTCTGTTCGAGGAACTTTATTTTAATGGAGGTATCGAGTGGACACGCAATGGATATTTACTACGAAATTCCCCGAGAGGGCTAATGGTACTAAAAGGTAGCTCTCGTATAAAGAACGGTATACTAAGAGTAGCTGGCCTTTTAATAAAACGGAATACCTATAGGTGTCTATAATAGTCGTTAACAGTGTTTACACCGAGGGATATCACAACCCGGGGAGCTTGAACATTTTTAAAAACCGCGGAACGTGAAAATTTTGTACATGTATAGGTATATTTTGTATATGTATGGTATATGGTATATTAAATATACTTTAATCTTACAGTGCAGCGATGGAAGAAGGGGGGGCGTGACCTCATACAATGATATAAATGGGGGCATAGACCTCAAAAGGTTGAAAACACTCGGTTTACAAGATGTTAGTTCAGACATATCAACTATATGCATTACAGTAAATCAAATAGTCGACTAGTATTATAGTTGGCCGGCTAAAGTTAAAAATGTACGACTTCGAAAATCTCACTGTTTCGATAGCACGACGGGTACTATAGTGTAATATGCTAATTTGATAGTTTTTTTTTTTTTTATAATATCAGACGAGCTCATAGTCTATAGTGAAAAACCGTCGCGCAGACCAACGAGCGTTTAGAAATATTTTCATTATATTTTTTAATTATCATAATATATAATATTTTATCATTAATTCAGTGCGTGAACAAGCCGTCTCGTGATTATTTTTTGTATTCGATTTATATTTTCCTCTCTGTATATTATAATATATTCTGCACCGCTCGGCCCTTGACCATCAACAACACTCGTGACGCCCTCCCCATGGTGACGTGGCAAGGTTCGAATAATATATAATCCAAAATTGATTAAACAGCATCATGACAGACAAAATATTATAATGCTATCTATTTTTATTATATTATACTCCGAATTGTAAACAATTTTAACAAGCGTTTATATAATAATAACATTGCGGATTAGTCTCGTCAATAATAATTATGAATATCAAAAAAATGTCACTCAGACAAATAAGATAGTGACATAAATTATTATACAAAATATATAACAAAAAAAAAAACGATAATAACAACGATTAACGATTGAATATATTATTATGATTAACGAAGAATGTATATTATAATATTATTATCGCCTGCAGAAGAATAATGTCGAATGTCGAGCTTAATTTTTTTTTAAATTTTTTGTTTTACTATCCCACGTTTAATGTGATTACAATAAATCGAAAATAAAACAGACACGACGGTTACACGGGCAACAAGTAAACAAAAAACAACGTTCGGTAAAATGTAACATGTCATCATATAATATTAATAATAATATTATTGTCAAAACAATCAATTATTAATGTAATAATATTATTTATTTTGCGGGGTAAAAAACAAAACGTTTATTATAAAGGATTTTGTTTTTGCTTTTTGTACATTGTCGAACGGTTGACACGCAAGTTAAAAATCAGGTCGTTTTTTCCGACCTCTTTTGAGATAATACGATGACATAATCACAAACCAATGCACACTAATGATGATAGTAATATTATATTATTTTATACATACTTTCTGTGTATATACTATAAATTCACAAAACAAAATAAACTATTAATCCCGTGTAGGATTTTTGTTTGAAAAAAAAAAAAAGCCGTATTAGGAAAATTCCGTTTGAAAAGGAATTCGTTCCCGTTTCTATACTATATAAAAGGAATTTTTTTTTTTAATATTAATACCAATACATAATTTGATTTGGATATATGATAATATGATGTGATCAATATGGAATACTAAAATATAATGTCTATGAAATAGTATAATGTACGGTAAATTATAAAATTGAAGATTTCACTCATTTTCTCTAAACTCTTTTCCGTTCCTCTTTTATTTCAGAAGTGAGGTCACTGCGCCGATTAAAAGACGGTAACGACGAAACGAAACCGTGATTATAAAAATAATATTACACACGTTATTTCGTGTGTACACGCGACGTATAACTTTACGAAATAATATTCTAAAGACTCCGGGCAACCTTGGAGAAGAAGGTACCGTAGTCGTCGTCGTCGTTTGTAGACATTACTCGTATCCGCCGCTCTCGGCCCATTATCCCCCGCCGATATCACCGCAGTCTTCGATATTATAATAAAATATATTATTAAGACGACTACGGTGATCTCGGGACGAGCCGCGTGCACGGGGATTTAACGATCGAAAGCACACACTCCGAGGAGATACTCCGGTTACTGGTTATTAGTGCGGTTATACACTCCGGTGAACCGGCGGCGAATGATAATGTATTTTGTAATATTACAATATTACGCGCCGGTTGTATAATGTATAACCGGCGCGGCACTCCTCGTTTACGACATTTCGGAATTTTATACGTACATTCAAAACCCGCCCACTTACTATATGATAGTTTATAATATTACGTTCGGATAGTAAAATGATACTATTAGGTCTCCTTCCCCCTCCCCCTCCCCCTTCCGGAGGATCGTGTTCGGCGGGTGACAACGACAACGAGACCGACAACAACTACACTGCTGCGGTGTCGAGCCTATAGAGAAAAAGAGAGAGAGAGCGAGAAAGATTAAAAAAAACCAACGAACGAACGAATCGACTCGTGGTTTTTCGATTCGAATACCTCTACTTAAATGTTTAAGTATTCGCACAATAATTTTATTGAAGACGGTCTCACGCGAAAATTAGAATCGAACCCGAAAATAATACAAAATGTCGGGACCAGTGATGGTGGATCTATATCTTAATTTAAAAAGGGGGGGAAGTCAAAACACGATGAAACTCGGTATGATATACTTTACTATAAAAAAAATTTAAAAAAACCTATACTATATTACGGTGCTTAAATAGGGGGGGGGGAATGCTCATATTGCCCCTACCTCTGCATTTGTCTTTAGTCGACGACCAAATACAAATTAGGTATTTTTGAAAATTATTTTTCTAAATAAATAATAATTTTTACCTATAATTTATTATAGTTTTAAAGGTCACGTTAGGTATTTATAATATTTACACACAATACCAAACCGTCGAGCGTCGCGAGTACCTATATTATTTTTCATGTCAACATATTAATTATTATCATGCTATACCGAAATATACATTATTCATACATGAATAAGATAATAGGTACCGACTCTAAGTTACAGTATGAAAATTAAGTCGTCGAAAAAATTATTTAAAAAAATTCCGGACATACCTCTCGCCAATAATGATATCCGTAAAAAATTTAGAAGATATTATTATTGAATATGAGATAATTTGACGGCGTACAATAATTTTTTACACAGCCTATGATACGTATAATTTGATTGAAATGATTTATTAATAGTAAATCATTACAATCAAAAAACGATTCTTGATATACTATAATAAGGGTACATAGTATTGGTCGTGATTTTCCCTTTTGTATAGCTAAGAAGAATAGAAGATAACTCAGAAACCAACGTATCGTAATTTGTTGTTAGTTTATTAAGTTTGTTAACAAAAATTGCCCGAAACCTAGAAAATGTGTTAAAATAAAGTGATACCAGGCGAAATGAACAGTTTTTTTTAGGAATGACATGAAAAAATTGAAACATAACTAATATAGTTTCTAATACACTTGGAAAATCAAATTGTTCAGTTTAAGCTGATAATTGTACTGAAAATAAATATGTATAGTTTGTGTGTCTATAATACGCTTATTTCCATTTGCACCAATTCATATTGTAATGATATATACATTATATATTATATACAATATATATTAACTTGACTTAGCTATAAACGTCACTTAACGTTAAGTTATCCTTAAACTAAGATAAGTTCATGATTGTGTGGCATCATCGATTATAAATCGTAAACTGTAATCAATATTTTAAGCAATACTTAAATAGTCACAGTTAAAAAAGGCAAATAAACCATAGTTGAACCAGTTTAGTTTAAGCATTACTTAAAACAAATTATTCTAGCAAATAGTGTTGGTGCAACAAAAAATAAGAAAGGCTTAATCTTTACTTAAACTTCAATTATAAATGGTGAAAATGAAAATTTAAATTTTCGTCCTACACGGTGTAATAACGCGACGGACACTCGGAAAAGTTATACATTTACTATGCTGATGATTGTCGCGAAAAATTCTCACCTCTACACGAGCTAAGTACAATGATTAGAAAATATAACACTAAATAACACTAGCTGAGATAAATTTGGACACAATAATAATTACGATGACGTTAAAAAATTGGTCATACTCGTACACGTGAAAACAATTGGCAAAATACAAAAGTTTTTTTTTAATGACAATATATTATAGGTAATATAATAACAATGTATAGATATGGACACAGAACGAAATGCAAATTATTAACCGACAATATACAAACAATTTAAATGACAAAAATGTAAACGTTTTTGTATTGTTTTTCCCTAGAGAAGTTATACAATTTGATACGTATGTTTAACGCACACATTGTCAACACTATTTATGTTTATTAACAAACTGAAACATTACTTAGGAGAGTGCTAAACATTTTATTCATACCGTGTTGTAGCACAAGTGCGCCATTTTCGCAAAAAACATATTATCAAAAATAATTTATTAATGCTGGGTTCGATCGTATAATAATAATATTACTATCAATTTTTGATATAAATATCGTTAATTCTTCTTTTTTTTTCTCCTTCGTACCAACTGTTTAAGGTAAACTACTCTTGTCCTAAACTTCCAATTGGCCCGATCCCCCACATAGTCCTCGCATATATTCTCACCCGTCGTCTTTATGTCATTCTCAATCACATTTAACTACCTCTTTTTCGGTTTTTCTCTTCTCCTCTCTCCTCCTATGTTTATTTTCATTTTAATTCTTACTACTTCCGATTTCCCTCTCCTCGTGACATGCTCAAACCATCTCAGTCTATTTTCGATAATTTTTTCTATTATCGATATTGTTCATTATACAATTAATATTATGTTTCCGTTTATATATAATTCAACTATTCAGTTCAAGAATCAAACAAGTAGAAAAAAATAAAGTTATCAAAAATAAGTGAACAATGCAATTTTTTTCCATTTCAAAAACGCAATAAAAAAAATGTATTAAATTATTGTAAACATTAAAAAAGCTCATATTTCATTTTAGTACAACAATTAATATTATTACCATTATATTGGTTTATCATTGTCTGTGTTCTAAAGCGAATACTAATTGCAATTAATTCGTATATTTTATTGATACACTTACTATTAATAATAATGGAAACATTAAGTATATAATGACAAATTATGTGTATAAGTACCGAAAGTTGTATTCGTGCAACTAATTTATTTCACATGTTATAGTTGACTAATTATATTTGTTGAATTTTAAAATCACTCTCACGAATTTTTTTTTTTTTTTTACGTTGTTGCAGTCTTAAACCGAATAGCCGATGTAATAACATTCTTTTGGATTCACGTTTTAAAAATTAAAATAATATTTTTACCTACACTCGAGTAAGAGTATCTACCACCCTAACAAGTCCTACACCAAAATGTTCGAACATTTTGTATGAAAAATAATAACAAATTCACAGAATAATAACGCTTGAAGAAGCTTAACCTTGACCAAAAAAAAAAAAAAGGCATTCAAACATAATATTTAAGAGGTTATTTTGGCTTAGACGAGTACACGTGTCGAAAATTGACGAGTATTGGCTATCGAAAGGTTCGAAATAAATTGAGAGCTTTCCTTTCGGTAAACATACCTATTATAAACAAGTAATAATAACGTGATCATTATAACGAACGTCACGCGTAGATCATATAAGATTGTTGTTTGCCCATCATTGCTTATAATAAATGTATAACCCATTGACCGACTAAAGTAATAAACAAAACCTCTAGAGTTCAAGTTTATGTTTATAACTACGCGTGTACGTCAATAAAAATACGGTATGCCCATCGATTGTCCGCGCACAAAAATAACACATTTTGCGTACAACAAATTTCAAATGTCGTCGCACATAAACTGACAGGCGACACAATAATAATATTATAATATATGTACGCACATAAAATATATCGATTACGCGTTTTATTTTATATAGGTGCACCGACTGCCATGTTTGTGTATACGGAATTATTAAAAAAACATTTCCATTTGTAAAATGAAAACTTTTAAGATTTAGGTCAATACCTACATGTATACCTGCTTATATTACAGTTTGTGTTGTGTATGCAAACCTTTATTATGTATAGTCTCTATTTTTTAAACGTATACACAATTAACGGAAGAACTAACTGGTGGCCCGAAAATAAAAGACTAATTGATTTACAATAAATTACTCAAGTACAATATAGATGTAAACGACGTGGTTTATTTATAATTTTTGGATTCATAAAAACGTAATTAAATTTTTTAATTTGTTAATGTGGTCGTATACGGGTGCCGAATAAAGATTAGGCGGACAATCGTGGAAAAAATTATAAGAAACTGATAGGACATCGTATAATACGGAACGATCCGCGGATAACTATCGTCTTAGCGAAAAATTATGGCGGACATAATCCAGGAGTCCTTCCCCTAGAAAGGAATTCAAGATGGACGGAGAAGAGCAGAGGAGCGTCACATCATTCAATCTACCGAGTTGAAAAGAATTAAGCACATAGTTTTAGTCTATTAAATTAAACTATAAAATATTTTTTTCCTATATTAAAAGGACAGGGTCGTAAGAAAAAAAATCATTTTTTTTTTTCAAAACATTATTTTTTGTAAATATCGTATTATAATAATAGTTCATTTTATAAGGACTTTATCGTAATTATTCAAGAACAAAATAATAATTGAAAAAAATGTTACTTCTTTATCCAAAATATTTAAGAACTGTTAATTTTATTTCGTTTCTTTATTTTAGATATCTTCACTATTCAATCATATTAGTTATTTTAATTTAACTTTTCGTTGTTTAAAATAAAATATTCAAAACATGGCCGTAACGTACAGACTTTAAAATATAAAATAAGTAATCAATCGTTTATAAATGTATAGTTTTAGGTTTTACTATAAAGCATAAATATTAATAATGATTGCGCCGAATACGTATTTTGTCAAATATTAATTATTACAAGTATGAAAACTACTAGTTTCGTTCTTCAACACCTGCAGTACACATACATTTGCGTTTATTTTAAATTTTATATTGACGAACTCGTTCTCAATATACAATGACACGTCGGCGTGCTATCGAAAATAAAATAAAAATGTTGTCGGTGTATTATCCATGAAGTCGAAATATGTTATATTCAATTTAATTATGATTACAAATGCTCGTGATTTTAATTTTAAAAATGTCAACAGAAATGAGTCGAAAAAAAATCTACTTTTATTAGGGTTTTCTGATGCTGTGGAGGAATTTAAAAGCTAAAAACGAATAGGTTGAAAAAAAATATGGAAAAATGGTATAGATTAGATCAAACAATTTAGTAGTCGATCAGTCCACGGGAAATTGGTCAAAAATCGACCACCAATTGTTAAAAATTTCACCTATACGCAAATCAAGTCAATATAAGCAATAAGCATGGTAAACATTTAACTTGCATTTTATTCGAAATGTATTTTAATAATACAATAATTGTGTAATTGATTCACATTTGGTACACTTTATGAGGTTAAGCGACTTTAAGCTATTTCTAATTGAAATTAAATTTTAAAAAAATTACTAAAATATACGATTTTATCTTTTACATATAAATACCTTTAACTATATTATAATATGTTCATATTTGCAATTCTTTACGACATTGTACAACGAAATAGAACTAATTACGTGTATGAGCTAGCAATAGTAATTACATGAGAACAATACGGGAACATTAAAAAAAAGTTCACACAATGAGAATAATGATTAATTTCCACGATCAAAATATCCTGTAGGTAATTAATACCGGTGCCACCTATTAATTTACTATTTGGTATAGTATTTATAAGTGTAATTAATTAATTATTATAGTTATACGACGCAGTTTGCAATGGAAATAAACGTATAAAGTTGCAGTATAAATTATACGTATATTATCTTATTATGCTCACGACGTAATATAAGTATATTACAGGGGCGGTTCTTAAAAGGTCCAGGGGGAGGAAGCGAAAATATTTTCCATATTGTACACATACACAATCTTGCACTTCCCTCCAATTTTTTTTTTTACTTTTTCGAGTGACTACGTAAACACAGCCCCTCTGCCTGGAACCGCCAATCTTGAGTAAAAATCAGATCAAGTAACCTAACCGAATTTCTTTTTTTTTATCCCGATCTAATGCAGCTCAAAATTAATTTTGAAATCAATATGAACACACAATAGTTATATTAAAAACATTTTAACGATTATTGGCCGAAACAAAAATCAAGTTTTTTGTCGGAAACGATGACCACCCACATTTTTTCAATATTCTCTGTCTAATCTACTCGTTTATCTATGAAAATCGATGGATTATTGACCGTCCATCTATATTTAACAGCCTGAGTACTTATATTATATATATATACGGATAACCACATGTATAATTTAATTTTTTATAAAATATACATTACATTAAAAAAAAAAACTTGTTAACAACATAAATTTAAATAATATATAATAATACATGCAATTTTATTCAATGGACAAAATATAAAAATATAATAATTATAATTTATAGTTTATTTACTTTTTATTTATAGTTGGTATTTATTTAGAAACAAGCAACAATCGTACCTACCTATATTATGTTATCTAAAAAAAAAAAAAAAAAATTATATTTCATAACAACCTACAACCGTTCCGTTTTTGTAAATCTAAACAAAACGCGATTTCGTTATCTTATTTACTGTCCTTATACAAATATCTTTTACAGGACCAAACACGTCAGCTGATAAACAGCACGTAGACCCTATGATAATATACCAACAGCTATAGGAATCAGTTAGGTTCTTAGGTACTTTTCAAATTTCTTAAGCTATTCTTTACGGGATACACGACAAATCAAATATTGTCGTACTTACCTACAACATCCATCATTACTATTATATACACCTATAACACAAATTACTAAAAATGTTTTATATTAATAGAATTATTTATTAAAAGAGCTCCCTATTTCACGTGTACGCGCTTTTACGTAGGTATTCACGTGAAATCAACATTAGAATCTATAATTTCTTGTACACGTGTACTTCTATCCACGGTCTTTTTCACGTATTTTCACTGAGCGTTCGCAAGCGAATAATGCTAAAACACGTGATAGTAAATTCACGTGTACTTATACACGGATTCCGTTTATAACTATTAATTCGTGTTTTCAATCGAAACTTCTGAATTATATACCAGCCAAAATTCGTTAAGAACTTAGTTTTTGGTTTTTTTTTTCGTGATACGGCGTTTTAAGTCCACGCATTAGGAATTGTGAAAAACGCGAGTCTGCCCAACAGTGTAAACAACAGGTGTGTAAAACATGGTTAGGTTACATTGTATTTGCATTTTAGTGAATCATCGACTAAAGCGGATAAGCGAACCTAAACGTATTATTTCTATTAGCGGATAACTGACATGCGTACAAACATAATACACATTAGTTATATATTATTAAATTACCGAAGAGGTGATTATTTTTTACAATTTATTTTTCTGAACGCGTCGCTTAAGCTGTTGAATTATATTATAAAAATTACGCTAATTTATTTTACTGGCGTCCTAAAACACCAGTTCGGTGCGCCGGACACGCCATGAGTCTAAATGAACAAGTAGATACGCGATTGAAAAAAGTTACGTAGATAAAAAGAACCACGAAAAATACAAATACAATAATAGTGATCTATATACTGTTATTCAAAAATAATAACAACGTGCAATTGGAATAATAATTGTTAAGACGATGTTTCGTCAATCGCTGACTATACCTATAATAATTTTTCCCGATAATTACCAGAATAAATATGTAAAAAGTGGGAGATTAAAAAACCAGAAAAAAATGTGACCATTCGTTTGAACCGCGCGCGTCATAATATTATTGAAAATAGAAGTCTGCGGTGGTGCACGTTTATATAACTGCTGCAGTGAACATACACGCCATGCAAATGTGTTTACTAAAAGAAATTAAGGGAAATTATAACCATAAAGATTATTATTTAAATAACTACGCAGTAGCGCGTACGATAAAAACTAAAATAAATATTTCAATCATTTGACTAAAATAAAATATTTCAATTATTTGAGTATTGCATTTCACCGAGATAAAAACATTAATACTGTCAGTTATTATATTATATTCGTTACACATGTTAATTTACAAATAATTACAATAATACTGCGATTATTTATTTGAAATTATTCGATACATAAAGGTCACAATGATCTATAAACTTTTATGAAGGTAAATATGTTTTTTTTTTAATTTTAAATTTACGACAGAATATGATTGATCGAAAAATATACTGAAACATTGTCACAATAATAATTTATCATAAACCCTAAAAATCATCGTACATATTTTAAACACAGGTATAGGAAATAAAAACTATCTAATCAAAGCAGTATATCATCATGAATATTCCGTAGAAAAAAAATAATTTAAAAATAACGGGATTCAGATAAAAAATGTTGGCAAAAAAAACACACACACAAGGATCACTATTTAATCTCTAACACTCGCCTAATAATGGTTTTTTTGTAGGTGAATTAATAGTAAGACTGAATTTCTGAATATGAATTTAACTATGTGGCCGAGGGGTGCAGGATGGAGTTTTTCTTAACTTTGTACACCCCTACAGACTCCCGAAACGAAGCCAAGATGATACAGTATTGTTTATGCATGGTATTAGTAGGTATCAAGGGTGTATTTCCCATACAAGAAATTAAACTTTCAACCCCACCCTTACCATTCAGAATATGAACAAATTGCATCAATTTTTTTGTTCATTAATAGTAGGTATAGATAACTGTAGTTCAAAACTGGACATCAAATAATTAGAAATTTAAAGTTAATATAGAAAGTTACTTTTAAACTAATTTTCTACATTAACTACTTGGTTATAACTCATAATAACGTTTTAACTAGTTAGATGCAATGCATGAAATTACCTAATCTAACGAATTAAAAACATAAAGCAACTAGTTATTTTGTAATTAGTAATTACACAAGAAATAGAAGAAAAAAATAGTAAATGTAAATGTTTATGTTAATGTTAGAATTGTTTTAAAATGTAAGTTAACAATTTTTTATGTGTATTACACTAGCTGTCCTGCACCGGGCGTTGCCCATGCAAATTTTTAATTCTTTCAACCTTTATTTCCATTTTGTTTTACCCGTATCAGTATATTGAACGAAAAAAAAAAATAGGTTGCAAAGTGTTCTAGTCAAAATGGACTCTCCGAGGTTGGTTCTAGTGTGTTATACATTTTTCATACGTGTTACCATAAATACCCGCACAGCACACGGATTCTAGGGCTAGCGGTATTGAAATTGTCAATTCCCGGTATTCGCTATTTACAGTTAACCAGTTATAAACAATACACCGAATTTTCGATATTAACGGTAATTACCGGCATCATCGGTATTTTTCAATTCTTATGGTATTAATGACAATTAAAATTTCATTGCAAGTAAAAAAAAAAAAACGATTCTGAGTGGAGCTCGGTTCATCAACAATTTCTCAATTGTTATCTATTTGTCTCATATAATAACTAAATAACCAAAAAAAATGTTAAATAAAGTACCACCGAACGCAAATCCACCTTTTTTAAGTTCTTTTCTGCCAAATTAAAGTAAATTTAATGATTTACAATCGAAGATGTGTTTTATAAAAAAAAAAAAAAACATACTTTTTGTAAAACTCATAATCGGTCCTTCGCTATATTTTAACCTAAACAATTACCCATACGAGTTTACAATAGACATTAATTAGTAAACAGAGACAAGCTCAATTTATTCTAAAATATAAGGATTAAGATACTAGAATTAGGTATTGGATTTTATAAATTAGATAACCTGTTACCTGATAACAAATGACCTATAGTACCAAGGTGAATTAATCGACCTTGGTTGGTAAAGTAATTAACTCCGAAAATACGGTACTGCTGGACATTGGTAGCACTAGCTTAAACTATATAATACATAATATACAATCCATACATGGAACTTATAAATAACTCTTTGTCCTATAAAAAATCCTTAAATTTGCAATAAAAAATATGGAGGGTTACCTATCGGGAAAAAACTACCCTATCTCTCAAATTGGACCAAACATTACACATTTACAAAATTTCATAAAAATCGGTTTAGTAGATTACCGCGAATGAACCTCGTGACACGGAATTTTTATATTTAAAAATTAATCTATAAAATGATAATTGTTATTTATTTTATGTATTTATTTAATTATCCCGTCATCAAAGTAAATAGAGATGTTAACATTTAATAATTATTTTATATTTTAATAATATACAGAGTGTAACAGGATTATTCAACATTTTTACATTGTATAGTAGTGACGTGAAAAATATCAAATTGTCCTGTTACACTCTGTATAAATATATTATTTTTTTCTTTTATTAAGAAGACGTTATACCTGCATGTACTGTTTCCGTCTTATAAACGTACAGCATAGCAAATTTGGGTTCAGCAGGCTTGAATGTGTGCCGTTAGTTTTAATATTACAATAAATTGACTTATTATCAAAATTAAAAATAAGAACATTATTATGATTATGTCGTGTCTTCGTTTATTTTTTTTTTTACGTAGTTTTAAATTTCGAGCGAGATAATATGAGTGTGTGAAACATCACAATTTAAAAATACTCGTATCTCGTTTAAAATATTTAAAAAACGACGACAGGATACATATAACGTTCTTAACTTTATGTGTGATGATAGAATAATTCACTGTAATATTAAAACTAACTATAGTACTGCACAGAGTTGTCCCCGCTGAACGAATATTTGCTATGTCGAGTGATTGTAAGATGCAGACAGCACATGCAGGTATAACATCGATGATTATAAATTATTCCACATTTGCAATAAGTTAATATTAATACTTCAAATGATCATATTATTACCAATAATTTAGTTTCAGGTTTTTAAATTATGAAAAGATATTTAACTTATAATTTTTATTTTAGCTTACGTTACTTATTTTCACTAAGATAGAATTTTAGTACTTTTAGAAAATGGCTTCTATTCTAACTTCATTAGTTTTTATATTAAAGTGACTAAAAAATGCCTTGCCTAGCTTATTTGAGTATGGTAAGTATTGTTTTACTATAGCTATGCATTGTTTTCCAAAGAATATTTGTATTGCCTATTCATAAGAACAAAAAAATAGGCGGGGTAAGAAGAATTTGACTCTAATAACGGAGTTCTGTTGATCACGGTTGGTTTTTTAATTGAGTTTTATAAAATATTACGAAAACCGAAAGGTAAAATTTGTGATTATTTTATTCCTATAATTTATATCTTTAGAATATTGGTTGCTATTTGAAAATCAAAAGCGATTACACCCTCGAAAATAAAAACGACCAAAAATAACGACGATGCACAATACATTAATATTAGAGGCGCTTGTTGTTTAAATTTTCTAAGAAACGAATTTCGGAAAAAATTTAACACTCCAGAGGCAACAAGAGTCTTATCGGGGATAACGTATAATAATAGATCTGATATCTATACGGAAGATACAAAAGCGTAGTGTGTGTGTGTGTGTGTGTGTGTGTACACGCATACACACACACACACGTGTGTATGTGTGTATGTTCTTGTCCGGTCTATAATGTTTATTCAATCAGATTGGATCATTTTTTTTTTTTCAATTTTGTTTATCCAACGCGTTATAATCTCATATTTGTTCTAGATTAAATGAAATATAATCCTTCCACAAGTATTCGAACGGCATTGTTTACACAGTAATGGCAAATGAACTAATAAAACGCAATACTCCCTAATCAAGGGTAAGTAAAACGTAGGTAATTTTTTGGCACGTTGTATCGACGGCCCGCGAGCTGTGCGTATGCGTGAGTGTGTAAATCGATACTGGTGTGAGTGAGCTGTTCAGCTATAATTAGAATATTCACCGCGCGTTATCGGTGATGCATCATAATATGTCTATAATGAATCGTATACATCAATGGTCCGCCCCGCGTAAGGTTTCATAGAAATTCTATTACGGATATTGTGTTGTTATTATTATTACTATCAACCGGAAATCACAACTGACGACGCATCGTCTCTTGCTTTCCACGAACGATTTGTTCAATGTCAAATGGTACGCAGTAAATAATTAACGATACTCCGACTGAATTTGATACTTGGCGTACTGAACGAAAACATCGGTCGACTGCTTCAAACTTCGGTATAGTATGTAAACACAGAAAAAATATTCCGCGCGCACTAATACTGTCAAGTATATATTGTACGCAGGCGATTTTACATCAAGGACTCCACAAATGACGTAAGAATATTACATAGTTGTATAGTTTATCCACTGTACAAGATTACGATGCACTTATACAATTATATCTATCTATATATGTATGTATATATCTGTCTGTTTACCAATAGATACGGAATACAATATGATCCAATGGCTAAAGAAACATTTGAATCTTTATTCAATGTTTAAGTTTTACCAGCCGGTTTATTTGTTGAGGAGCAGTACGATTTTGTAGCTGGTTCTCCAAACGGACTAGTGGGAGAAAATGAAATAATTGAAATAAAATGACCTCATAATAGTAAAGATATAATACCTCACTAAGGAGTTGTGACTAAAAAATACAATTTTTAAATATCAATAGTAATGGTGATCTGCAGTTGAACAAAAATCATGATTATTATCATAGTATCAGGTTCAGAATTAATCAAGAATAGCTGATAAATGCTCGTGTTATTCTATAGTCTGACCTCCCAACAGGTAATAAACAATAATATATCATAACGAAATATTTTTCTTATTTTTTCACATAAACAAAAACTAAATAAATTTTGTATGTACAGACAGAAAAGTACAAACTACATGTATTTTTTAAATTCAAAGTTACCATTTAAATATATATGAATTTTGTTTTCAGATATGTTTGTAGAAATAACAATGCGTGATGACGACTTCTGGAAGGATAAAATGGAAAAAACACAATTGGTCGAATTGTATAATTGTCATTTATTACAGGAAATTGTATATCCTAAAATTTTAAAATAAATGCCAATTTTTTTTTCTATTATTATTTTATTGTTATTATTGTAATTAGTCATATTAAATTACGAATATTACGTTATTAGTTTATATTTTATTTGTATATTGATAATATAATATTACAATAAAATTATATTATCATAGGATGGTTATTAAAATATCAATTATGACTAAAGACCGGATTTAATTGATATTGTGACCTTTTTTTGTTATAATTATAAATCATATCTGAATAAATATATAGCTGATATATACTAAAAATATTGTGCCCATTTAATTATTTTTCCCACGTTTTAAAATCATAGGCGTTTATCGTTCGTCTGGAATTTTCTAGAAGTTTGGACAGCCCAACGAGCGATAAATGTCTATATATATATTGTGGTAATCAAATTCAACGTAGTAATACAGCGATTCGTGTGCGTTTACCTGTTGGTACCATTTCTTTGATCAGTTGGACCGCACAGTGAACGTATTCGACATAATGCCTAAAATAAAATCAACTTTAAAAAGTAAAATTTCGAATTGGATTGCTCCTTACAATGGAAATAAAACAGTATTTTCATCAAACGGAAAGGTTAAATATTGTTTGGTATGTATCAAATCTGAGCCTACTGAAAACAAATATCTATTAGATCATCGTTCCAAAACAAGTAAGTTTTGTATATACTCATACTACACGTAATATACTACATATCATTTCAAAAATACATGTATATTTTTTTTAGAGTTCAACACATAAATGCATTACAAAGGAATAAAGAAAAAAAACAACTTTTGATTACTTTTCAAAATTCGAATAGTAAAAACGTATTTTTTGAAGATTTGGGTAATGCATTTGTTGCCGCAAATATCCTATTACATAAACTGGACAATCATGTGTTAAAATCATTTTTGGAAAAACATACTGACAAATCAATTCCGGACGAAAGCAGTTTTAAAAAAAATTACATACCAAATATCTATAAAAGTAAAATGGACCAAATAATTAGTGATATTGTAAATAATTACGTTTACATAATTGTTGACGAAATAACCGATTCAAAAGATTTGTATAAATAATTTTTTTAATTTTTCATATAATAAAATATACTATTTTCGTTTAAATTTGGTTATTGCAAATTTATTAATTCCTCGTTAAAAATATTTCTTGGTATTGAACAAAAAGTATTACTTTTTATTAGTGATGTTGGTACTTATATGATCAAAGCCTAGCAAAAATAATTAATAATATTTTTCCCGAAATAAACTCATATTACATGTATGGTGCACGCAGTTAAAAGAGTTCTAGAGAAAATTCGAGAATTGTGTCCAGACATTAATAAATTGATTAACAATGGTAATATATTAAGTACCTATTTAAAATGTAAATACACATGTGACTTATTTCGTTTATTTCAAGAAAAAAAACTTTCCTAAAAGCACCATCGAGAATAAATAAATACAAAAAAGAAATTCCGGGTATACCTTTACCACCGAACCTATTATTACAGGATAGGGAACATGGTTAAATACTGCTAATAAATTTTTGAGAGTTTAAAAACGCGATTGAAAGTTTAACAGATAGATGATGCTACAAGTGTGGAAAAGCTGAAACAGCTAGTACAAAATAATGCAGTCAAATATGGTTTAGCATTCATAAAATTACACTTATCCGAGTTATCCACGAATCTTAAAAATTTAGAAGAATCTAATAGTGAACTACTAAAAAGCATTAATATTTTTTGAAAAATTGAAGATATTTTAACAAATATTACTGGTATATTAATGGCGAAAAAAAAATTATAGAAAAATGTATATATGTAATTGAAAAATATGAAGGGTATAAAACTTTAAAGTCTTACTGTGAAGTCATGTCAGGCAAAGCAAATGTTGATTTAGATATAACGCCTACTTTGTTAAATTGTTTTAAATATGCACCAATAACTAGTGTAGACGTAGAACGTAGTTTTTCTTTGTACAAACATATTTTAAGTAATAGAAGATTTAATTCTAATGAAAATAATTTAGAAATGAATTTAATTATTAATTTTATTTTTAAAAAAGTAACATTTATTTAATTTTTTTTTTTATATAACTTTTGTATTTTTAGTGCAATTTATTATGCAATTTGTACGTACTTTTTGGTGCAATTATATAATTTTAATACGCATTTTTGCGTATTTTTAATGCAATTAAATTCGGTCTTTAGCTATAACTGATAAACAAGTACTACGTACAAAGCCGCATCGTCAGAAACAAGTTATTTTTAATTTTATTACGAATTGGAACACGCAATACCAAATGTCCGGTGACACACACACACAGATAAGGATATTAACACACGCGCACACATAAGTCAGTGATCGATTTCAATGACTATTTATTGAAGCACTATTATTTAGATGAACAAACATGTTTTTACAGGAAAAACTCTCAGGCTCTGTAGAATTGTGGGATTTCGTCATATTTTTTTTTTTCTTTCATTTAAAAGAAAAGAATAGTATGCAGGTCGGATAAGCCCGAATTTTAATTTTACTTTAAACAGTGCTAGAAAAAAACATTTGAAAAATAAGAAATATTGTGCGTTATTCAAATTCATATTTTATCATCTTAAATTATAATTTTGAAAATCGGGCTTTAATCCGACCTGTGAAATATTTTCTTCTTTTAAATAAAAAGAACAAAAATTATCAAAATCTGACAATGTTACAGGAATAAGAACATTTGCTCCGACGGCCCTTAACAACACGTAAAACAAAATATATAAAAGAATAATACTATAACGGAAACATATTAAAAAATTATAATTATAATACACAAGAAATAGCGTAATATCATATTATCATCAATCGTTTTCGATATTATTTATTCGTTTCCATAATTCGTAGCCGCATATGCGTCGCTAACAGATAATGTTTTCTCGGCATTTTAAACCGAATCCTGAAACCTATCCGGTGTCTGTCGTTATCACGGGATAAATCATTAGAAGATAATACAATTATCGTTCACGTCGCGTTTCTATTCATGGAGATTACCCGCAGATGGTTTAAATTTACATTATTTTAACCAACAACGGTCGTTGTTATAAATGGTATAGGTAAAATATGTTCAGACACACATTTTGTGACCTATATTTAATAGATATAACATATTTTATTTAACATTTCTGTAAAATTGCAGTGTTGTTGCCGGAGGAGGGTGTTTTTTTTTTTTAAAGCTTTATACACCCCTACGACAGACGCCCGCCCTGAACGAAACCGAGGGTGCAATCGTAACATCAGTATCAAGGATACGCATTTTGGGGTTTTTAAACTTCTACCCCTTCCCGTTTTTATATACTCATATAATGCTTATAATACATCAAAAAATAACCTCTCCAACGAGCCGTCTAGATCGAAAATTCTACGAGCAAGTTCCTTGTACAACCTTTTCGATTGGAACATTAGGAATAAAAGTCGTTTACTGAAAATAAAAAAAAAAATAGTAAAAACAAGGTACTATGGCTGTTAATAATTTCAGGATCGCTGTAGTAGACACTATTTTTATAGGGTGTAGTTCGCCTAACCATAGGACTGGTCAACATTTTTAGATATCGTTGACATCAATGTGACCGCGAGTGAAGGTCAACGTCGAATAAGAGATTCGGAACGGCTTTTCGGATTAAATTAAAATGTTTTTTTTTTCCCTCAACCCTCGACCCGTTAAAACTTTTGTTATTAGCTTCGCGTTAATTTAATTGGTGTTCGTCGTCGTTGTTAATAAAGAACCTATACCGTACGTTTGCGGACACGTCATATTTTATTATTATTATTATTATTATTAAAGTGTTGTGTGCTCTCGTAAAGTTTCCGGGGTGTACGCAGCGGGTTCCGACAATAATCAACGATGAAAATGTCTTTTTTTTTTTTTTTTCATATCGTTAATATTTTTTTCCCGTTATAGTCGTGAAATTAATTGAAAATCCCCCATCTATAAATACGTTTTTGTTTCTCGTTTCGTCAATCGACCGTTGTTGAAACACGTTTGCGGGATATAAACTACACGACTTCTATAAAACGACAACGTTTATCGAAGGAATATAATGGGACGTCCGTAAACACCGAAGATAAACGAAAAATACCCGTAATTAAATAATCGACGCGAATTAATTATTTTCGAACATTGCCGTTCGGAATTTCGGACTGCCCTTTAAATCTCCAACGCCCAGACGCGCCCGGTTCGTTTTACAACGTTGTCACCGGTCTCGGCGACGGTCACGCGCGATAAGAACACGCCGTGGAATTACGTTCTAAATTCTGACGAAATTGAAACTTCGTCGGGGAACGTAATATATTTTCCGCGCGAAATTCGCCAATATTTTAACATTACGATCGGTAAATCAATGTCCGTATGCTTTCGGGTCGTCCGACGGACGTTTTCAAGTCGCATTTTTCACCAGGCCCTCACCACCGACCCCCCCGCGACCTATCGAACGTCGTGATTTTCCGCAAACGAATCGGGGGGGTTTGCCAATTATTAATCGTTAACCGGCGACCGCAATCGGGTTTTGTTCATACGGGGTTTTTGTCAATCGCGATTTTACGTTCAGTATTTTAACGGCCCTCGGTTAGGTTTGGTTATCGCGGGAAAAGGAAAAAAAAAAAAATGAACTATCCGAGGGCGCTTATTATTAGCGAGTATCGTATTTACAAACAAGATTATTTCGTTAATTAAATAAAATATCGGTTTTTTGGTACGTGTAACATTATAACTGTATAGTTATAACGACAGAAAAAAAAAAAAATGTTAACTAGACATTTTCGAAAGTTTCCAACAGTTCCCTCCCTCCTCCCCACCGAACAATATATGTTGAAACACAAACTGCATAAAAAGCGTTCACGGTAAATATTATAATAATTTACCGAGTTGCGTTTTCCATTTGAATAAACACGCGTTCGGAAAACTTATTGAAAATTCGGAACAAATAAATATGGTATAGGCGTACCCGTTCGGAAATTCGTTCTAGAATCGTATTTTAGGTTATTTAAATGGTACTCGAATACAATGTGTACACGTTATCGAACGAGTATTCGTTTTACATGATTTTTGTTTTTTCGCTGTGCCCCCCAAAAAAAAAAAAAAAAAATTATAATATTATCGGCGACCGATTGTTGAAATAAATTTATTGTAATCCCACGAGAACTGCGCTTCGTTAATTATTAATAAATAAAAAAAAAAAACACATTTACTCCGACGCCGACACTTAAATCGTTTTATCCGTGTCGATACAAAAATATTATTAAATACTAGGTATTATTATTATTGTTGATTAAGCATTATTAATTAATATTTTCAGAGATACCGCGAGTCTGCAACTCGTAATCGCGTCGGACTTTGATTTTACGAAAACGGACAACTAAAGTCCGGGATTGTTATCGACACAACAATAATATTGCCGAGAAAACCCAACAGAATTATCTGGAATATTGTTTTGAAACAATTATAGAATTACGATCGGCTATATTTTAATATACGATATTAGAAAATTTGTATGAAAAAAAATATACTTAATGAAAAAACACAATTAATAGCGTTTGGAAAACTGTACGTTTCGATTTTGAAGTTCTTTTTTACCGAAACCGAAAGGGTTCCCGAACGGGGTTTTATTGCAAAAGAATCGTCACGTATTTTTATTTATTTTTTTTTTTTCTGATCCCGTTAAACCTGACTTTCAGCAGGGCGGGGCCGTTCGCAGCCGGTCCACCGGGGATAGGTGACGACGGCGAATGGGTAGTCCGGGACACGCTGGAAAAACCGTTTACAAAGAAAGTACCGAGAGCGCGGGCCGCTTGACGGACGGGTTCGTGCCGTCGAACCAATCCCGAGGCGATTGAATGGAAACAGAAGACAAAAAAAAAAGTAAAATAAAACCCCTCCGGACAAACCGTCGTCGTGTCGTTGAACTCGATCGAAAATAATATTGCACAACGGATTTTACCGTCATTATATTATTTTTAAACCGTGTTTTTCCCGGTTCTAAAAACGAACGCGATATTACGCCCGCGTGCGATCGGCCGCGCGATTTACCTAGACAAAACACAAATCCCGAGAACCGAAACTTCCCGGCTCCACAAATAAACCACTAAATTAATAATTATTATTATCGTCGGTGGAGTACCCGTATTTCACGTTATTACCTATGACATTTTCGAAAGTTCGACCGCGAAAATAACGACGCTATCGATACGGGACGACGCAAACAAAAGAATAATATATTGACGAACAATACCTACTACAATGATAATAAAATATTACGCGGTTCGTTCGGAACGAGTACAATAACGGATGGAAAATAATTTCGTACTGACCGTGTCGTTGTTGGTGACCGGCGACGTCTTGACGTTTTCGGAATTTGCTTGCGGGGAAGTTACGACGACAGTCGGAACGGCCGGCAGAGACGTATTCCCGTTGGTGACCGGGATCACTGTGGTGGTCGGTTCCGGATCCGATGCCGAGGCCGTCGCTAAGTTGCCGAGCGCGAACGCGACGAGTACCAGTACCGCGTACGAGTAGTTCCTTGACCGGCTTTCCATTTTCTTTTACTTGCGTGGTGCGGTAGTGAGTCTTGAACAATACGAAAATGAAAAATCGGGAGGGCGAAAAAAAGGACCCGGTGCGTGTAAATAATAATATTATATCAAAAAAGTGGAAGAAAAAAAAATTAAAACGGTCGTACAATAACAGCAATACGACAGTATTATCGGGGACAGTTGGCTGGCGAGTGGGTAAAACAAAAGTAAAACAATTTGATGGTCCGCGGTGAATGTACGTGCTCTGAATACCTGCGCGTCTGTCTGTATAAACCGGGTGTAGTGTGTACGTTGTTGGGACGCCGCGCTTTTCGGATTGCCGCCGCCAACGCCGTCGCCGGTGGGGAGAAACGTACACCGCAACCGCCGCGAAGCCTGGTGACTAGAACCGGTACAACGGTCGGCGGAGTTCGTTAAAATCGCGGCCGCCGAAATTCGAAATTTTACCGGTCACCTTTAGTGGTTTTTCGTTTTACTTTATTTTATTTTTTTTCTGTTCTAGAAGCTTCGGAATTTCAATATTCCGTCGTGTAAATCGTTTTACACGTCTACACCAATGATGAAACCAAACCAATTATTTAGTTGGATACTGCGTAACAATATTTTAAATGTTTTTTTTCTTTGCCCATACAAATCGAAAAACATGATAAATCCACCCCTTGCTTTTTTCTTCTTACATTTCATTTATCCGTTTTTTTCTCTTCTTCCCCATTACGATCAAAACCGTCAGGAAAAATAAAAAGTTATTCCCAAACTTCCAGACTAATTTAAAATGCAACAAGAAAAGTCTGCTGGGATTTTTTAACGGGAGCAACATTTCTGATAGATAAGTTATTTGCAAACGGAAAAATTTAAAAATTTAAAAAAAAATGATATACAATAGGTGGACCACTGTTGTAGGTGAGAAGTTGGGTAGGTAGCAGAAAAGTATATCTGTACGCAACGATAAACCATTGCCGACGAAATACGATTCTATAAGCAAAGTTCGTTATACATATTTTGAAATGCCAGGATATATACGATTTTCGTTAAAGTTTGAACTTAAATACACTTATACAAAAAAACTACTTGGCATATTACGCTCAACTTTTTTTTTAATCACTAAGAACAATAAATTTGTGGTGAACTCTGTGTACAATTCACGGGAACATTTCTGTTCAACCAATACAATTCTATCCACAATTAACCAAATAAAGACTAAACAAACTCAAAAATAATAAATGCCTAATAATTTATTGCTCAAAAATCGTCAGAATTTTTGAATATTCTATTGCGTCTATAAATGGGTATTATAGGTAAGTATTCTTCGAAAATTTCAAATAACTCAAATTATTTTAAAACGAATTTGTACAAAAAACAAAATCAAAAACCTTTAGCCGTAATTTTTCCCGTTTTCGTACTTTTTCCCCGTTTTTCTCAATTATTAGGAAATATACAAAGAAAATCAAAAACATTAATTCTTGAAGTCATAAACTAGTTACAATTTTATTTCATAAAATATGTTATATTTTAAATTCGGAGGAAAGTTTCTAGTTGTTTATAGACAGAAAAAAGAATACATCGTATTAAAACTTATACATTTCACGCCACGCTCATTATTTAAAACTAAGAAGACTTATATTTAAGTTTATTGGGGAAGTCGGGGGATTTTGAAATTTCAACTATTTTTTAACTAAATTTTGACCTTCCCTCCTATTAAATTTCAATTTTAACCACATTAGGTAGATCCACTGTAATTCTACAACATTTGTGATTTCACTAACAATATAAGTAAATGTTGGATTTTTTGTTTTTTTAGTTATTGTATAAACGAACAACCATATATTGTTCATTATTTGAACACGGTTTACAACATTATTTGTCTCTCCTTCTTGTTTATTATGCCAAACTCTTAGTGCAGACTTTGGGTTTATAAATATCATCAATTCAATTGTTTTATTATACGCAGATAATAGTCGTAAATTCTGAATGTATTTTTCGTACCATATTAAAACTTCGAAAATTAAAGTCATGCCAACAAATTATGCCTGTACAAATAGGCATCTACTACCAGGGTTGTAGTGGAGGGTATACGGCGGTATACACTTTATACCTTCTAATCATTACGAGTAAACACCGTATACCTTCTGGTTATGGTCATATACTCTCTGTCATAATAAAATCACAATAAATATTATTATTATTAAAATTATTATTTTCATTTTTGGTTGGTTATGAACACAAAAGTTATTTACTATTTATACCCTGCACTAAAACATTAGGCTAGAAAATACACTTGACATGCAGGGCATTACAATTATACCAAATAATGGTATGGTTATAACTTATAGTATACCCTTTGCTTTTTTTACGACTGCAGCACAACATACTTACTTATACAATGAAGATGTTTTATTTCAACATATTAAATACTCATAATGAGTCAATGTCTATAGTATTTAAGGCCCGTAAAACGTATACATATTATAAAATTATTTATTTATAGTTTAAAGTGTTTAACACCATAATATATTTACATTGCCATGGTAGTTTTTAAATATACCGAGTACCGGGTAATGGATATTGCTCATTTCAAATACCATCAACGCCAATATTTACACAGTGCGTTTCACTCAAATGGTAACACAAATATTTCTGTCCAGTGACCTCGGGTTGAAATGGGGTTTTTAAGAGAAGATAGGAAATACTGAAATACACATTTTGCATGGATTTTCAAATTTCTTAACCTTTCAGCGTGCGCATACGCAATAAAACTTTCATTTTTTTATTAAATGGAAACACCTATTCTCAACACTTGATTTGGATAAACCATTTTTTTCCTTAAGCAACTTATATAAATAAACTTTTAAGTTACCAAAGATATCCTAGGATAATGGGGAGGGGTACAGCCACTGTTATAAATGATTTAATGTATACCTGTATTAACTACATGCCTTCGTCTCCAGCATTCAAAACAAAAGATCACTGAAGCATGCGCACAAATGACAAACAAATTAGGATAGCTACTCAAAATGAAGTCATACGACGTTCAGAAGCATGTTAACAATATAATGGACAAAACTTCGAACAATAAGATAATGATGCCTGATGAGTATTTTTTGTAATAAATTGTTTAAAATAAAATAGATTTAATAATAATAAAATAATTTTGTTTCAATTTTAACTAGCTGCATTTCGGCCAATTTTTGAGACAAGAGAAAAGTTTATTTATATAAGTTGCTTAAAAAAAATGGTTTATCCCAATCATGTGTTGGAAATAGTTGTTTCCTTTTTAAAAAAAATGCCAGTTTTATTGTGCATGCGCACACTGAAAGGTTAAGAAATTTAAAAATCCATGCAAAATGTGTCTTTCAGTATTTCCTATCTTCTCTTAAAAACCCCATTTCAATCCGAGGTCACTGAACAGAAATACTTCGTGTTACTATTTGATTAAAACACACTGTACTTATGTACAGTGTATTGAATTAAGTACCTGTTTAATTATATGTAGATTAGGTGTATTATCGGAAAATATGTTTAGTTTTTAAAGTAAATTTTTATTAAATATTTAAAATTAAAAATAATTATTTGAACGGTAACTATTTTAGATTCTGGTTGGAGCAAGGAATGTATTGGTTTTACAGTGATGTTTATTTTTGTGAACACTTTTTCTATTCGGATTATCAAGTATAACATATTTTATAAAAGGAAATGTTCTTTGGGTGGTACTTTAAAAAGCATATTTTTTGAAATTCTCATTAATATTTTAGACAATGATGAAAATCTCGTTCTTTAGGTTAAAAAATATTGAAATATTAAAAATAAGGTTGTCATTGAAAACCGTTTTTATTTATTATTTATTATTATTAAATTTTTATTATTTTAAATCTTTTTTAAACAATCATTGTTTTTATAGAAACGCACATTTCTGTAATCATTTTACCATAAAATGACATATTATATATTGTTAACAAAGCAACACTATCAACTGAATTCTCTCAGAATCGTTTTTTTGTTAGCAATGGTTTATCGTTGCTTACAGATATACATTAAATTCCCGTCTGTATCCTACGTTCCTAACTTTCCACCTACAAAAGTGGCTGCATCCATGTAAAATAGTCCGTCCTTTTTTAAATGTTGAATTATATTTGTTAAGTTAAACCTTTAAAACAATAATACAATGAGAGCTCTGGTCAAATATTAATTTTTAAAAGTTTAATATTAAATTGTTAAGTTCAAAATTTTAAACATTTTATCAAATCTCAACTTTTTAATGTTTAAATTTTAATGGTACATTTAATGTTATAAAATTATAAAATGATTAGTGGACGAGTATTTAAGTAATTTTTTTTAAATTAATCATTGTAACAACAAGTAATAATAGTTGTGGAGCTCAAGTTAAAAAGGGCCAGTCTCACTTTTAATCAATTTTGAAAAATTAAGAGTAAAACACATGTTTGGGTCTTTTTAATAATGCAATAGTAATTCTACTAACAACATCAGTCTTCTCAAATCTCACAATAATAATTATTGATATGTACTCTTTTCCCACTAGAAAAAACATTATTTTAAAGAAACGATAATATAAATAATTATGTTTTAAATATACATACATACATATATACATACATACATCGAACCTCAAGCTTAGGTAGGTACCAAATTAATAAATGATAAACGACGATACTTAATATCCGCAAGTAAATCGAGACAACCCCGTAAGTTCCCAGCTCATTATCCCAAATTTTGTGTAATGTACTGACCTAAAAAGTATTTTTAAACGATTTTTTTAAGTGTACGAAGGTACTCATTAGATTTATTAATAATTCTATTTTATATTATATACAATCTCACACTTCAAACTTCTCCAATAACAATCAGTAATTTAATATTGTCATATACTTAATAAATCAAAATTATTGTTATCGAATGTGTATATAAGAATATTATAATGATAAAAAAACATATAATATAAACCCATCTTGAAAAATTTGTTACCTATATAATTTATTCGCCATGTTTTTTTATTAAATTTATTTTAAATATTGAATGTAGCGAGGAATGTATTGGTTTTACAATGTTGTTTATTTTAATTTTTTTTTTCTGTGGACAACTTTTTTACCAGTAATTTTGCTTAGTAAATTTGCTTCAAGTATAACACTTTTTACTGAAAGGAAATTTTACTGGGGTGGTAAAGAGAGTAATTTTTTAATTTTCCCAGAAGATTTCATAATAAATGGAAAAAACCGGGAAAAGCCGTAGGGAAAACGAAAAACAGGTAAATATTATTAAAGAAAATATATTATGCATAATGTAATTATTTTACTTTAATA